ACCATGACAGTCAATAATCTGAACCAAGAGAGGAGTGTAAAAGTCATTTCTAATGGAAGTGGATGATCACCGCACTATTTCGTGGAGTAAATAGAGTCAGGAATGTGAACCGTTGAATGGAATTCTGGTGGCCTAAAGGTTAACTACTCATTACAACCTCTGGGGAACCTGGGTAAATCCAATGGTGAAGTTATCAACGCTCACCAATGAAGAGTCTCGCACTGGTACGAAACAGCTGTTCCGTTTCTCTGGTCTTCATTGACATCCTAACTGAGGCCATTCAGTGAAGAACACGGCATAGAAACTGTTTTCTAGTGGGAAACATTAACAGATAGTATTGATAAAATAAATCAAATACTTACACCTTTAGGTTTTTTTCGTGTACTATGACGAAACAACGAAACTGTTCTTTTTACAAGTGGCCTGTCTTCTTCACGCATTGCCATCCATGGATGATTTAAACACTGATGTACTGATGGTCTTTTTCTTGAGTAATATAGAAAAACCATAGACGTGGAAGTGCGATTAAACAATTGTTAAATGTGAAGGATTATGAAACGATATAAAAAGTTTAAGATAATATAAACTCGTGTTTTATGTTTTTCACATAATTAGCTTTTAAATAAACCACTTTGGAAGTTAATAAACCTTTCTAGAGAATACTTTTCTTCCAATGAGCGGCACATTTTTAATCTTGACAAATAACAGTTATTCATTTGAGAGATCCAACTTCAAAGTACTTTGAAATTTAAGTGAATAATAGATCTGCATTTATCACAAACTAAATTAGTATCAGTTATTCAAGATTTGGATAAAAAAAACGTGTGCCATTTATAGGGAGCTGTTTAAACTAACGGGAAAACAAATAAGATAATAGTAGTTCAATGATAACTTGTCAAATGAAGAAGTTATTTATGACTTCCTGATGGCAGAAAATAAATGTTTGTGTATGTGTTCTTTGCATATCTGCATCTTGAGGGGTTTAATTTCTGTTCATGTGTCACAAATGAAAGGAAATGTTCATCTCTGATTCGACTACAAACTATTCGAAAGACAATATGTTAAACTATCAGTCATTTTGTCTAAACATTAGAAACTAGTAAATGAATTAATAAGATTATTACCAATATATTTATTGAGATCATGAACCGAACAATGTTAGACCACCATTGAAAGTCCGGAAGAACTGGATGGCTGCTTTGTATCATTATGGAACTCTTTAGCAGTGGATATTCACTACCCCGCATGTGCGACTGGAATCCAGGACCTTCGGTCCCGCACAAACACTTAACTCCTAGACCGGTAAGTTGGTGTCCAACAGTGTTAATGTCTAACTTCAACGAATCCATGATATTGCGCGACCATCTTCGATTGTCTTCGGTCAATAATTGCCTTAAATACTCAGTAGTCTGGAGGTTGGGCAATCGCGCAAGACTGAAGGTCCTGGACTTGAGTCTCGCATGTGGGATCCTTGGTACTCGCTGCTGAGGAGTCCCATATGAATAAGAAATGGCCATCTAGTTCTTCCCAGTTTTCAATAATGGTCTAACCTTGATTGATTCATGATCTCAATAAAAATTCAACAATCTACACAACTGCATTCTGATTATTACCGATATATTTGATCCTTGTTTTCATTTACTCTTTGGCTTAGTAATTACACTTAAAATTATAAAAAATAAAATTGGAAATACAACATAGATTTTTTAAATGGATTTTTAAATCCGATAAACTAAACTAAACATTGTTTCTTCATTTTTGTTCATTAATTAAGTAATAGCGATTTTTCCAAAACAAATTCTCACATCTAAATTCAGTGACAGATAGATTTCCATTGAATATCATATTATTATTTAATTATTAATCTATTCTTTTCAAAAGTGTAATAATACAGGTCATATAATCTTACTAAATGTTGATTAGAATGATTAATTTGTGTGAACAATAATTTATTGATTCGAAAGAAAGATTTTATTTCGATAGGTCTTTAGATTAACTGAAAAGGAAATATTCGAAATTGAAAGTGATATCTATATTGAACATTTTATCATTTTCAAGTGTCATTGACATACTGAACAACCAGTTAATTTTATCAGTAGTAGGTTTTGGATACTACAGAATTTCATTAGAATTGTGAACCAATCTAAATTATCTGATTGAAATCATGAGTCAATTAAAGATAGACCACCAAGGAAAACCTGGAAACACTGGACGGCCGTTTTCCCCTAGTATGGGACTCCTCAGCAGTGCGCACCCACGATCCTGCATCCCGCGAGATTCGAACACAGGACCTATCAATCTCACGTCAGGCGCCTGACCAACTAGACCACTGAGCCGGCATTCAATGGTGTTAATGTCTAGCCTCAACCAATCCACAAAATTTCGCGACCATCTACCATTGTACTGAGGTAAACACATGTTTCTACACGACACGGACTAGCTCCACTGGTCACGGCTTCTCACCAGAACTCCGAGAATTTCCTCACGAAGCTAGTCACTAGCGAGCAAATAGTAATTATCAGTATAGGGGTTGTAGAGATTTTTAAGTTTTTGATTGAAATCGTGAGTCAATTGAAGCTAGACCACCATGGAAAACCTGGAAACACTGGACGGCCGTTTCGTCCTAGTATGGGACTCCTCAGCAGTGCGCATCCACGATCCCGCACCACGCGAGATTCGAACCCAGGACCTATCAGTCTCGTGCCAGATGATCTGAATTAGACAATCATTGAAAATCTGGAAGTTCCAGTTAGCTGTTCCATCCTAATATGATACTCTTCGGCAGTGCACATTCAAGAACTTGCATCAAGGAATCAAACCTAAAGCCCTCGGTCTCTTACGTGAACGTTTCATCTTTATATTGCTGAGCCGGCATTCAGCTGTGCTAATGTTTAATTTCAGTCAACACACAATACTGTCCGACCATCTTCCGTTACATTCGGTGGGTGACCGCCTCGCACCTCAAACGGTTTAGCTCCACTGGTCACCAGACGGAGAATATTTTTCTCTGAAGGGAACATTAATTGCTAATATTTTACAGGTAGCAATATAAATATTTTCTCTCTAGCTTACATTTCACTTCTAATCCTAGTGAAAGCGAACATTAGGTCCGATTAAGTTTTATCTAAAATCATTACTATTTACCAGGAGTTTACCGACCAAAAATATAAGCTGGAATTTTAAAATTGGCAGGAAAAAAATGTAGCGGTTAAATATCCCAGCACATAATAAAGTGAATAAATATTTTAAAAAAACTGCTTTATGTAAGTGATCTAATATATCTTATTGCTCGATGGCAAATGAGCTTTCAGTCTAGATAACAAAGATTCTTTTAACATAATCAAATGTTTATTTCTTACTGATGTTTGTTGTATCATATATCGAGGTCGTTAGGAATTAATATAAAGTATTTGATCAGGTGATTATAAAAGATGAAAATTTATGGTAAAGGAAATGAAAACACTGTAACCACATGTGTCTCTGTATCTAAACAAGAATATTCCCAAGTTTCTGAGAGGAGAGTATCGATTACAGATATCCATGTTTCCAAGTGTGTATATAAAACGGAATGCAACAAAGAAAGACAATAAAAGTTTGAAAATAATTCCATATATATAAACTTAGTTTGTGATATGAGTTAGATAGTTTTTCAGTTTATTCTACCGATGAAAAGATTCAGGCCACCATATGTGAAGGTATCACTATATCGGAAATTGAAATGAATAAATAATCTGATAAGCCTAGAATACTAGGCGTGAAGAATTAATGCCTTCGTCCATGGAACTTGATGTCAATATTCACTAGTTCATCCCTTCTCTTGAATTGTTTTTAAAATGAATCATTTATCTTAAATCAGCGATCATAGAATGAATGTTTAACTGTGTTGGTCAGAATTTGTCAATACAACTAAACTATCAAATTAATATAATTTCACTATTTTAGTTCAAAATGTGTAAACATCAATAGTTATTTATGGATTATTCCATCACATTTATTAGGTAAACCTAAATAATCGACAATGGAATATAAAATATGTAAACAATGTATTGGGTATAAAGATGTTTTTTGAAAATAAAAGTGTTTGTTTTGTACAAAAGATATTGATACTTCGGTAAATATCAAACAGTGGTATTTTTTTAAAGATTTTTTGTAAGCAATGAACGTCATTATCAACTGTGTAAACATGAACTAAAATACTACTTACTTAGGATCTCGAACTAAAATTTGTTTAATAAAGTCTTTCGCCTCGTTTGAAACATCCACTATTCCAGGGTCGTCAAAATCATATCTTACATGTGTAATATTAAGAGATATTTCTTGATTAGTGAGAATTCGATCACGACAACCATCTTGTGGAATTTCAAATGGTGTGATACCTGCAAGACTGTATAAAGAAATAAATTATTTATAATAGAAAATTAGTTTCTATTAACAAATGTCATATTATTACCATTATGTTTATGTTGATTGACCTTAAGTGCTTTCTATCGTTCAGAATAAGTATCGAAAAAATGATTTTGTTGAACCGATTGTTTATGCAAGTGAACAAAAGAAAATGAGAGTGGTTAATATGCATAACAGATCTATGAAGTTAGACTAGTTAAAGAGTGAATTGGGTATATGGCGAAGTAACCACCTCTAGTGCCCCAAAATATCCTGGCTGCAGTAATGTTTTCTGCACCGTCTTTCTTTGAGTTCGATTTCTTCAGTAGCATCATTTAAAATAGTAATTTTAACACCAATACTTCCTCTGGAATAGTAGTGCCCCAAAATATCCTGGTACGGCCGAGAGTGGGGAGAGTCCGCTCTCCCTCTCGAAAGGCTTTCACATGGCCACGCGTATATAGCCTCTGCCAGGGAAGTCCTATTCACTGCCTTCTCGTGGCTGGAGTGTTGTTTACCAAATTGAGAGGACGAAAAGCGAATGTCTAGTGCTTTAACCGGGTTGGTGGACATGGAGAGTACACCTAGGGGAGTTGGAAAACCCTGATTCCAAACCAATGGTGTACATGGTCTCCAGTATCCTAAAGGAGCAAATGGCATATGAACCAATCGTTGGTCACCGGCTACCATTGGACTGCATCTCCTTACGCTGCTCCACTGTCTTGTGGATCAGACGTTCAGGTCGAAGGCTGTGGGTGTGGCCCCGTAAGAAAACCACCTGATTCGGTTTGGGCACTCGGGTAGTATCACAGCCCTCACAAATATCAAATGAGATTTGTGTGGTGCATATGTATTTGGTGCCTCATTGTAGCAATATCTATGTGTTGAAATAAATAAATAATAGTAGATATATTTAGTTCTCTTTTCATCCTATTTATGTATTTGTGAGTGAATTTCATTCCCGTAGGTCTAACATTTCGAACATGTTTTCTGAAATAAAATCTTTTTTAATGTTTCAGTGATTTTCATAGTTGTTTTTAAATTCTGTCTGTCACATCATTCTTTACTCCTATCACTTAAAACGGCTTTCATCCTTTTTAAACGGTCGTTTTCATCCATGAGTACTACACCATAACCTTTGTCTGGTTTCGTAATTAACAAATTATCATCTATTTGCTTAAAGCTTCTTTATATTTTTTCGTCAAATTCCTCTTGAACTGTATTCATTGTTTAGGTGTCTAAGGCAACAGTCTATTAGTGTTGATTTAAATCTTTCGACATCATCTTCTGATGAAGTTACTAGTTCTGGTGTTTGGGTATAAATTTTTTTCAAATTGGATTTCAACGTCCAATTTTTTATTAACCGTTTTCTTAAAGTCACAAAACTTAGGATCTAACATTAGTTGCAATAGTAACTTGTTTTTTGTTCATTAATAATTATGTTTTATTAGCATTTAGCTTACTAAACAAAATTTTACCTACTTTATTCTTTTTCATTCGTGTAATAGATTAAAGAATTAATTCAAAATCATTTCACATCTGTATCTCATTTAACTATACAAATTGAAAAAGAAGAATATGAATATCATACTCAAGCTATGGGTTTACATTTATCTGTTATTGGACATTATCCTAAATCATTTATCAATTCGAATGTTTTAATGAATGGATTAACACATCATCATCACCATGATAATACCAATCATTGTGGTAAATATAACTGTTCATCTGAACGCATGAATTTATTATCTGTTAAAGATATTTAAACACGTATGCATTGTAGTTGTCAGTCCATGTCGAAAAGGCATCTTTTGATTTTTTTATAGCTCCGTTCCCTTTTGTTCTTCACTTCCTTCCTTATTTGTTCATGAATTATCATTATTATTTCCAGTTAATTTCTCATTATTCTATATCGTCTAAATCAATAACCCTTCCGGATAATTCTCCTTCACTTTCCACTTTCATTATTGTACATAGTTGTATTCAATCTCTTTAATACCATCTCCACCCCAGTTTATTCTATGAAATTAATCATTATGATCCTTGTCGTTTTTCGTTGTCTTTTGTATAGTATTTGTCTACCTAATAAAGTTCCCTTACTTATACTACTTTTTAGTATAGTAGTATAGAGGTTTATTGGAGTTTTGTATAATATTCGATTTCTAGGTGAATTATATTCAAAATTATTTCAAAGGAGCATTCTCAGCCCTAATTATTTATTTCTTTAACTATGTACTCTAATTCGTACTACTGATTTATGCTATTTCATATAACTGGTTCTGAATCTAAACCTACCGGTTCATCTTTGGTTATTCCTTTCGCTATTGATTTTGTCTGCGCCGTCAGATATCTTATTTTACCTTGATTACGTTTTTTAACTGATGTTTCTTAAATTCTCTGGGAGTTTGCCGGTTATTCTGTCTTTCATCAAGCTTCAAAATGTGCTTTTTTTGTTGGCCTAGTTACACACGTTTAAATTATTTAGTAGTCAACCACTTGTACTTGTAAATGATTTAAGCGATGACTGTGATTATATTTTTGCTTACAAAATGTGGAGTGTATGCATGAATGTGTTGTTGATTTTATAAGTCTGTTAAATCAACTTAGTAAGGGTTTTTTTGAGTGAAGGTTTTTTATATATACTTTATGATTATTTATCACCTTTTAAAACAAACATTTCTCGTTTTATGCAGAATAAAGAATCAACCATTGTAAAGAATTGGTGTATTTTTAACATTTACTTCTGTCACACGTTAATGATATTTCAGTAATATCGGTTTTCTTAAAATATTCTTCGCTTACTTTGCTGGTTTTATGCATTCACTTTCATATTAATTATTTTCTGCTTTGTAAATGAGATTATTGCAAGGCAGATGGGTTTGTTAAAAATATACTTTTTTTAAAACGTGGATTAATGGGTCTTTTTTGAAAAAAATCTAAAAAAGAACACGCTATGGCTATTCAAAAATCGCTGATTATTTGCCATCCAAAGGACTCTTCACTGATTATAGCCAATTGTTTACTTGTCTGACAACTTGTAATACTATGCCTCCACCATAGTGCTCCCACCTTCCATCTTTAAAGTTATTTGCCTGAAAACGTACTAACTAGTGTTTACTGGATTATTTTTTCCTACATTGTGAACCAACTTGGATAGTAGTATCTTTGACTGAATTCTTAAGTTTGTCGAAATCTGTATCAGTATAGTTTTATGTGAAGTGTGTATGTCTTGTAATATTCCCCTTAATTACTTCAGTTGCTGTATCCACAGACCTAAAGTTTTGTTGTGAATATCAATAACACTCGATCAGTATTTGCAGTTTATTCGATTTATAAAGTATTTTAACTGCAACATTAAAGCAAAGTAGAACTGAACTTCAAATTGAAAATGCTTTCTCAATTTCTTTGTGACCTCTTTATCAGGGCTAACACAATTGGTGAAACATGCAGAAAATTGTATTTTATCATTCATTTTGGTAACTGTTATGCATATATTATATGAAAAGCTTAGGTCCTCATCAAAGGTTAGGTAGATGATCTTATTTAATTCTATGTGAACTACTCAGTTGTCGTGTGAGAATTCTACGTTGGATAAACTCGTCATAGGTATATTGACTTAATAGGAAAATTTATTTCAAGTATAATGCAGTGATAGGCTAAACTTAAAGTAAGCGAGAAGAAAGTATGTAGAAAATCCATAATTGATACTGAGGCATACAAACAAGATTCCAAATTGCATAACTTTTAGAAATGTAAGTTTAAGAGTATATGGAATAAAGTTACTATTAGATTAGGAATTTCTAGGTGTGGTTGAAAGTTAGGACAAACATTTTTTTAAACACAAAGAACGGTTAGATTTTCTAATGGCTACAGATTTCACAAACTTTGACGATTTCTATTTGAGTATTTAGAGGTTGTTTTTAAATTAAACCCGTCACCTGCTTTACTGTACAGAAGCTGAATTGCCAAGTCCCTGAAAAAATGACTGAAGTTACTTTAGCACATTTGCAGTTGCCTTCAAAACAGATCATATGTTCATGCACATGTAGATTTATAAGCTTAAAATATATGATTTAATCATGTATACGTTATTGTGGCGTATGTGGAATTCTGGATTTAATTTTCGCGATGAATAATAATGTGGGAGTATAATATGTACACCAGCTGGCTATTTTCAGCCAGCGTTTCAAAATTATACTGTTAGATTTTCTCGAAATTTATGGGGACGATTTTTTATAACCTCTATTTTGCTTATTTCTGCCTTTAAATGTGTATGGGTAAGGGCGTTACTTGATCGTTCACATTTATTGGCGAATGAAATCGAATTATTACCAATCGCAAATATTATTCTGGATACTCGAAATCTTATGTAGCCTGTTGGATAGGGCTTTTCTGTTTTCTATGGATTTTCTGGTTTAAGGTTGCAAAATATCCAGTTAAAAAAGTGTTTTTTGCACTTTCAAACCTTCAAACTGGTATTCCGATGCACATAATAGTAACATCTTTAGGCAAATTAATAACAATCCGTTTGATTGAATAAATCATGAAATAGAAAGGCCCACCCTTTATTAACTGGCCACTGATTTACATTCATTTTTTACGTGAAGTATTTGACAATGAATCATTTCTTGTAAGTAGAGAATCAGTGAAACTAAATAAAAATTATTACATCGTCATCGAAATACAGAAATGTATGTACTTCTTAACGTGATCATAGTGTAAGTTTGCAATATATAAAAGGGTGTTTTTAGCCATAGTGAAAATCATGAATTTTCAGTTACCTTTGTAAATGGAAGCATACTTATGTATTAGATTACGGTATCGTAATCAAACATTTCCTGTCTTCCGCGGTGACAGGCATTACCTCAATCAATTTTTTTTGGAAAATTCGTTTATTTTGAGGCGAATATGGAGAATTTAAGGGTGAATATTGTAAAAGATGTTGAAGTGTTAACATTAAAGGTTAAAATATAGTATTACTGCACTGTAAACTTTAGCAGTTTCGTAACATAATACTTCTTAGTGTGCATGATGTCAGTTCAATTTTTTCAAAGTTTATAGTCACTAAGCCTTCGGACCGACCGGTGTTCAGGTAAGAAGATTAAGAATGACTAGCAAGCATTAGTGACAAACCGAATTATTTGCGCACAGTCAAAGCACATTTAGATGTGTCCGAACCAACAAAATATATTTAGCATTGATCCTGGTTGGGTGAACTCACACCACTGACCTGCCATGCCTGTAATTGTCACCTACAACTGAACTTAGGACATTTAATCACCCTGACTTCAGCAAATTATGACACATCTGGCCTGTCACCCAAAGGTTAAACCATATTGAGAATCAAGTGAATAATACTCAAAAAGTACTAGAATTGAAATTCTCAGATTAGTAGGATATAGATCGCTGATTGAAATTAAGCTTACGCTGAAGTTTATACGTACTCCGATGTTAAGAAGAAGAAAGATTTATAATTCACTAAAGCCTAATCAATAACAAATCACTTGGATTTGATCAGAAACAGATAATGTTTGGGTCAGAGAAGGTTAAGTACCAATAAGACAGTTACCCGCATTTCTTATGGATTTGAAACATTACTGCCATATGCTGTAAACTAACAGTAAAAATATCTGAATATCGTCGACCAACAAAAGTCTAACACGTTTGTTATTTGTTATATCCCGACGAGAATTATAGACAAATTACGCACAAGGCTGCTGAATCATCAATGCTTCGGAGATGTGACGTAAGTTAATGAATTAATTTCTAAATTGCATACAGAGCTGGAAAGTGGTTGCAGAATGAATGAATGTGTCGGTGAAAGCCTACATGAATCTTTGAAAAGCAGTAATTTCAACGAAACAGTAGCAGTTGTACATGACCCACCCAGTGGTCCAGCAATGTCCATTTCAGAAACTTGCCATGTAGTGGGTTCGAATCCCATTATCCCCGAAACACAATGTACAAGCAGTGACTTGTTCAGCTCACAGAAAGACGGTGTCTTGTCAAATGAGCATGAAATTTTTGCAATACCCGATCAAGAAGAAACAGAAAATAATGAATACATACATAATAAATACAGTTGCACTAAATGGATCACATCATTCTACCACAAAACATTCTCACAAGTCTGCTTATCGGAATTTTCTAGTTGTTTTACCAGATATGGGTTATTTTAATGAATCATATGTTCTTGATGAAATTTCTTACAAAAGTGAAAAAAATATGTCGGATGCATCAAATGGTGATCAAGAACCTAATTCAATTTCGATAGATACTGATTTTCTTAGTGAATTCTCTATTCAATATGGAAAATACGTTTTAAATAGAGTCACATTAATTATGACTTACGGAATTGAGGATCCAACACTATTTCATAGGGGACGATAAAGTCAGGAAATTTACAATCCCCCACATTCACAGTCACTTTTGGCTAGATATTGTACAAATGTTATTTTCCATTTTATGGTACGATATGGTCTGCTTTGTTTGTATATAAACGCAGTATGTTTGAAATACATTATTCATATCGCAGAGGCTGAGATTGGTATTCTGGAATCAACAGACAAGGCTAGGGAGGAAGAAGGACCGATAAAGACTCTAGACTGCTCGTACGGGTATTATGTGTCATTGGTCCGGTTTATAAACCACTATTCTCTAATTGGAGGTATCATGACATTATATATGAATAGGGCACGAAGGCACAAGTTATAACACATCAATAACTGATCAACCTTTGTATTTAAAGTATTATTGTTTAAATGTC